AAACCCACTGATGAGTGCCTTTCACGTCGAATCATAATCGAATGAAACGAAAGTATGGAAAGGTCTAGTGTTGCGGAAAGTTTTATTTCTTTTCTTTTCTTTTCTCTTCTCTCTGTTTTTGAAAACTTTATTTTAAGAAAACAGTCAATCCAATTTGGTTGGTCCATGATATAGGTCCAATAGTGGTGTAGTTGTATGGGGCTTGTAAAGACCTTTCCAACGATAAGCCCAATTCCGATGAATATTGAGGAATTTATGGCCAATTTACTAAACTGGGTCTGGTTTGAGTTTTAAGTACGGCCCAATGATCTAGGGGAGGGCCTAATATGATTTATCATTCCTAATGTAATTAGGAATGGTTTTGGTCTTCTAGAACATTCTAGAAGGTTTTATCATTCTTAATTCAATTAGGATTCTTCAGAGTTTTAATCAAGATCAAATAGCATTTTCGACTGAAATTATATTATTTTATCTTCCAGTACGGGAATTTTATCAGAATTTCGAAAACGCGTTAAAAGCCGGTTTGGCGTCCAACCCCAGGCCTTGGCGCCTGGAACCAGGATTGGCGCCAGACGCCAGCCATTGGCGCCTGGCGCTAGCCACTGGTCTTGGCGCCAATGAGCCAAGGCTGGCGCCAAGGTGGTTTTGTGGTCTTCAGACTCTGTTTTGATAAATTATCTTTTATTGGATGTTTTTCTCTATAAATATCGTATCAAAACTCCGTTTTCATTCACGAATTCTCCTTATTTTGAGATCATCTACAATCCACATTCATCAACAATCACTTTATGATTCACAATTCTCTTTATTCTTAAGTTTTCATTCATCATCTTTCATTCATCAATTTTCAATAACATTGGTCTTTTAGTATTCTTTTCTATAACTTTGCTCTTTAATACAAAATTCCGCATTCACAAGATCTTGAAACACCTAGCCATATTCGAAGTTGCCTTCGCCCTAGACGTGAAAGGTTTAATTTCTGAGGGTTTGGTCCCAAATCTCTCTTTCAATTATTTAATTTAATTGTTTTGATTATTTATTTTCCTTGAAGTTACTAACGTGTGTATTTTGTAATTAGAAAGAGGTACGAGGCATCCAAGTAAGTACTTTAATGGTTTAATTGATTTTATGATGTAGATATCATGCTTAGATTGTTATTTATGGTTCCTAGTATCATGTTTAGGGTATCTTTAATATTAAGTATGATCAAGTATGATGCTTCCTATGTTATTTCTAATATTTATGATTATTTATTATTATTATGATTATTTATTATGTTGCTTGATATGCATATTATTTTATATTGTTATTGCTTGATCACCTTTATTGTATGTTAAAGGGAATTGGTATTTGCAATCACGCTTAATAAGATATTTAATAATCTTGTTAGGTTAATTGTGATTATAATTCAAGTGATCGCCAATAATAGTTTATTTGTGGATTAATGTTCAACCAACATAGATTAAACAGGTTTAGGGTTAATCCTATTGATTGTATGTTAGTCAGAAAGCGCACATGAATACGAGAAGAATAAAGTAGAGGCCTATTATTAGGGCAGGTTCAATCTCTTTTAGGTTGGATTTGTACCATCATCCCCGGACCCTTATTTGGTTCATGACCTCATGGAGTTGACGATCTCTTGGATCGTTAGTGGGTGTAACCTTCACCTCGTGAACGGTTTACAAGTTCCTTAAAAACTTGTTGGCGACTCTTTTGCTCTATCTTTTTCCCTTTTGGACGCCACCGTACTTTAGTGTATGATCACAGTGGGGTTCAAGCTAGTGGGATTTTTAAGGCTTGAAACTATTCCCTACAGGTCCATATATAACTAATAGATAAAATGATTAGTACTTCGTATATGTAGGGGTGAGCATGGGACGGGTACCCATGCCGTTAGTACTAACTGTTCAGGTACCTGATAACCAAAATCACTAAAAGTGATACCCATAACCGAAACCGATATGTTCAGGTACCCAGACTTCGAGTTCTCGAATTTTCGGATCGATTATCGGGTACCTAATAAGATATCCAATAATGATAATTAAACTTAATTATGTAGTTATTATGATATAATTTACAACTAATTAACAACAATACCATATGATCTTGACCAAATTATTAATTATATTACTAATCATTGATATTACAAAGTGATTATGAAGTAAAGTAAAAGTTCAGATTTATATTAATAGATTTAAGTAAGGAAAAAAAAAATGCTTATTGGATCAGATTGGGTAACCATTATTTTTAAAATAATACCCATAACCATACCTGATAACAAATTATCGGAATAGGTACCCGAACCGTTATAGTTATCGGATAGGGTACCCTAATTTTCGGAACGGTTACGGATCGATTTTTCGGGTAGTTTTGCTCAGGCCTACGTATATGAACTTATTTGGAGTTTGGACTTTTAAAAGTGTGTCAATTTTTGGTACAATTTATCAAATTTTGTAGTAGGTTTTCGCAATCTACACTCAGCTTCAATTTTTTGAGCTAGGTGGTGTAGTTTTACACTATGTAAGCTGGTTATTCGATCACCAATCTCATTTCCCAGGTCTAAATTGATTAAATAAATTTTGTAGTAAATAATACTCTGTATTTCATATACTTTTAAGATTTTGATGATTTAGTTTTATTCGATTTCAACTCGGGTCATTTTATTTAGGAGAACACCCAGAGATTTAAAAAAAATAAAAAACCAAAAAATTCCAAAATGACGTCGTTCATGGTCTTGCTAAAACCCTCTCAAATACCCTCCTGAAATTCTGAATATGCAAAAACTTCGAGTAATAGAATTTAAAAAACAGTTAAGAGGGATGTATATCGAATCCCACCCCCCCCCCCCCCCCCCCCTTAATCCTACATTCCTACTAATCCTAATGTCTGTTTAAAGGAGGATCCTCTGAAAGCTAAATGTTACTACTGTTAAGGTAAAATAAAATGATTTTCACAGCTTTGTATTTTTGATAATTTTTATATAACATTTAAAATAGCAAAACAAAATATATTGATATAGAATTAGATAGAAGAGCCTCTAAGAATTGTGATTATTGTACTATTGCCATAAAAATGTTATTGAACTAGTATAGCACCCGTGCGATGCACGGCTTACGAATCTTGATACTCAGATTCAATTCACAAAATTTCAAAATACAATGATTTATTGAGTAATAATAAACTTTACTTATAAATATGTCTTAATCATATATTTTTAACCTTCAAAGTAATGATATACAAAGTACAACTTGAAAACAACCCCCCTTTTTATTTATTTATTTATTTATTTATTTATTTTTATTCTTAGATTATATGGAAAGATTTGAAAAATAATTCAACTTAATGAACTAACAATCAATACCCACGTTAAGTCATATTTTTTTCCCCTCATTTCTACTTGCGCCGTTGGCCACCTTATTTTTAAATGGGGGGATTTTTCTATGTGGATGGTCACATCGTGTGGCTGTGTTACTCGAATTACTCGATCAGGGGTTACTTGAGTTAATTTTGACCGAGTAACTCGTAACCCCTAACTGAACCCCTCGTGTAAACCCTTGACCGAGTAACCCGAGTAATCCTTGATCGAGTAACTCCTGACCGAGTAACCTATCTCCGAGTAACTCCTAACCGAACACCTCAAGCTACCCATGACCGATTAACCCCTAACCGAACCCCTCAAGTAACCCCTGAATTAAATCCCAAAAGAGTAACTCGAGTAACCCATGACCGAGTAACCCTTGACGAATAACCCCTCGAGTAAAACCTGACCGAGTAACCCCTTAGTAACCCATGACCGAGTAACTAACCCCTGACCGAACCCCTCTAGTTACCCCTGACCGAACCCCTCAAGTAAACCTTGACCAAGTAACTCGAGTAACTATTGGCTGAGAAACCCCTGATCGAGTAACCTCTTAAGTAACCCATGATCGAGTATTTAACTAACCCTTGACCGAACCCCTCAATTAACTTCTGACTGACCCCTTAGGTAACTCTTGACCAAGTAACTCGAGTAACCCCTGCCACACGATGAGGCTAGCCACATTTAAGAATTTGCCTTTTAGTTGGCTATCTCTCTACTCTAACTTAATACGAAGTATATTTTTGGAAAAAGTTTACGATTATAATAACAATATGATCATTATATATTGTACTTCGTATATCACAAATAATTTCGTATTCTTTTTCTCCTCAATGGTCTCTAAAAACACTTAACGTTTAACATGAATTTTTTTTAAAATAGGATTTATGATCCCATCACTTACTACCTTGATTTTATTATGTGATGAATTTACCCGATCATCACCACACATCTATTGGACCTTCGACAACCAAATATCTAAAATATAAAATAGATAAAAAAAAAAAGCAAAAACAGGGACACGTGGCAGCCATGAGCTAGTATACCCTGTTTTAGTATAATATATAGATTAGTCAGAATTTTAGTACGAATATTAAAAATAAAAATTATTATATCAAAAAAATAACACAATGACATTAATTAATATTTGTTAAATAAGTGTTTTTTAAAAAAAAAAAAATCGAAATATATTTGAATAAGTAAGAAGGTATATATAAATTGTTTTGGGCCATTATAACACGGTGCAAGCACTTTTCCAATGGTATACCAAACTCAACACTCTATCAGACATAAAGTCGAGGGTTCGGTCCCTAGCAATGCCTCCCCCCCCCACACCTTTTTTTAATTTTTTTTAATATTAATATTAATATTAATTTAAATTTAATTACTTCATATGTTTATTTTACCTTTAGATAAATTTAAATTTAATTTTAATTACCTCTTATATTGACACTAATTATCTTTTTTGGTTCCTCGAAAAAAATTAATAAAAATTCTCTTATTTGATACTTGTGTTTGACCAGAACAAACATCCTCCAATCACGTGAAGGAGCATTGTAAAGTCAATCAGATGGTCCCCCTTTTGTTTTGTTTTTTTCAAACGACTTCTCATAAGAAAAAAAACCCTATCCCTTTCTCTTCCAAAATTAAATAATCTCTCCTCTCATAATTCTTTTGTCGTGGAAGCACAGGGCCATAGTTGAAGTTCTTGCAAGTTGCAACATCACCATCTCATTCACTCTGATTAGGTAGTTATCATCTCCCTCATGGGTTTTGTTCATCAATGGTTGATTTCCATTTTTGAATTACATGCATCAAGTCGTTTACATGCCTAGTTTATATGGCTATTGTTCTTCAATTTCGAGTTTCAATTCCAATAGAGTTGCCAAATTTCGTTGTGTAATTGTTATTTTTTCTAAGTATTATTGTGATTTTTATTGTATATCCTGTGAGTTTGATTGCTAAATTTTGAATTTGGTTTGAATCTAACGTTATTTAGTAGTATTAGTGTTAGGTTTATTGAGGATGTATGTGTTTGGGTGAATAATTTAATTCTTTCTCTTACTCGTAGTTTCTGGTGGAGTTGGTACTTTATATTTCCTTTCTCGGCTCGTTGAATGTCTTGTTTTTTATAGTTGATTTGCTTGTTTTTAGTAGTTGATTTAGAAATTGATTTTTTTTTTTTTCTGTTTTTGGTGGTGGAATTGTGAATTGGCAGGTGGTTAATTTTGGTTTTTGGTTGATCTTATGATGGTTTACGTGTTATTTTGATTTTTCAAAAAAAAAATTCTTACAATAATTTACATTTTTTAGTCTATTTATTTATAGTGGTGTTTGTTTATTGACTGAAAGGTATGGCGGATTCAGGTGAAACATGGTTTACCGTGACGGTTGATGATGAGGCAAAGGATCTTTTGGTGAGCATGTTATTACACTATTGTTGTTTTAAGGAATGAATAATATAGTTTTCCGTTTAAACTAATTTAATCTAATTAAATATGTTCTTATCAGTTTCTTCCAGATCATATAAGTGATCTCTTTGGGGGGTACAAAGGAGGTTCATGTTCAAAGAGGCATTGGTGACTCAAAGACTTATGAAGTTGAGCTCATGGAGGTCAGGGGTGGAGAAGAAAAATGTTTTGGAGAGGGTTGGCATGTCTTCGTCGAGGAAAATGGTGTGGAGATTGGTGATATATATTAATCATAACGTGTCTGGGTGGTAATTTATTTAAGGTGGATATTTGGAGGGCTGGCGTTGAAATCACCCGTAACACTATTTTGATCTCATCTGATTCAAGCGATGATGATGGTGATGGTGATGATACGATGGAGCCTATCCAACCACCTCCTCCCTCCTTCAAATTCCAATTCATCAAAAGCTACATATCCAAACAAACAATTGTAAGTTTAATTTATTACGTGTTTCTTTTAAAGATCTTTTACTAAATTAGCTAGTTTAGAAATTATAAATTTCAAATCTAATTTTTGTACTATGAAATCATTCACTTTTGTTTTGTTCTTCTATCCAAGCAACTGAAATTATACGACCATAAAAGAATGATAAATTTTCTTTTGATTAGTCTCATGTTAATATTTTGGGGGTAAATAAGTACTATATATATATCTCTTGTTGCAGGTCTATGATGCATAATACATTTTTTTTTAATTGGAGCATAATACAGAAGTTAAAACTCTAAATTGTTAGTTGTATTGTGATTGATTATAAAAATATTGCATTTATTAGCTATCTTTTGAATTTTTACAAGATTTGAATAATTAAAAGTTAGTTAGGAACAGGGGTGCTTATATGTTATTGTCTTATGTTCATTAAGAGTATGAATGATAGGAAAAGGCTATTATATGAAATCTGGCAAAAACCAAATAAACCCAAATAAAAAAGTGAAAAAAACAAAAAGGAATTTTTCTTCCAAGTTAATATTTTGATAAGAAATTAGCTAGTTTTGGACTTAACGAATTTTTAATTATCTATTTTGGTAAATATTTTTATTAAAGTAGCTAATTCAGTAAAAGATCCCTCTTTAAATGGGTTGTTTGTTTGATTTTATACTATTGTATCTTATTTTATTGTTTTTTTTTTTTTTTTTGATTTTTGATTTAGTACGTTCCCGTATCCTTTGCCCATGCATATTTTAATGGCCTTAAAGACCCCTTGTACTGTTGACTTGTATAATCGTCGGAAATGGAGAGCCACAATGCACATTAAGTACAATCGAAATCGGAAGATTGTGGCTTGCAAAATCAAGAAAGGAGTTTCAAAATTCATTACGTGTGAAGAGGTTAAAGTGGATGCAAAGGTTCTTGTTGAGTAAGTGGCACTAGTAGAAAAAGGCTTATTTGCGTCGCTCATTTATAGTGTATTTGCGTCGCTTCTATGAGCGACGCAACTGCTCGCGACGCAAATAAGAGTCATTTGCGTCGCTCCTTTATAAACAAGCGACGCAAATGTCTCTTCTGATAAACTTATTTTTTTGTGGAGCGACGCAAATGACTCTTCAGATAAACTTATTATTTGTTATTTGCGTCACTCCTTTATAAAAGAGCGACGAAAATCACTTTTCTGATAAACTTCTTTTTTGTTATTTGCGTCACTCCTTTATAAAGAGCGACGCAAATGACTCTTCTGATAAACTTCTTTTTTGTTATTTGCGTCACTCCTTTATAAAAAAGCGACGCAAATGACTCTTCCGATAAACTTATTTTTTGTTATTTGCGTCACTTGTTTATATAGGAGTGACGCAAATGACTGAGTAGACAATAAAAAACTGCTGTATTTGCGTCACTTGTTTGTTTAATGAGTGACGCAAATGAGGTGAATTTTATTTTTTTTAATTATAATATAATAATTGCCTTGTATATGTTTGTAGTACTTGTTTTCCTTACTAGTGGTATAAAGTAATATGCTAACACTAATATAACTGAAATTAAAATGCAATATTATTGAATAATGCAAATGTAAATTTCGGCAGAGTCTCCTTTGTAATTTGGCCTACCCATAAAATTGGGAATGACGACATTATATTAACAACCTGTCCAATAATTTACATCTCAATATCATAGACATTATACTCATCATCCCAACACCAATTAACCAAATTACTTCATTTCAAGCCTATAATCCAAAACAAGAGTCAAACATGCGATAAGTGGTAAATCTAAAGTTCAACATTACATATAAAATACTCTGCCCAAATATCTCGGATCTCATTTATCTCCTCCTCGGTGTACGGTGTAGTTCTTGAAAAATCCTATCAACACAACAAATATACAAGAGGAAAGTTTTAATTCAAGATTGTAGCTAACATCAAATTGTATTTATCAAACAAAAATGAAATATTTGACAACTCATACCTGAATAAGATCTTCACTGCTATGGTGATGTTCAAGTATTTCGTACATATAACGCATGACGTAGTAGCCACACTCACGTCCACCCAATTGTTGAGGACACTACAATAAAAATTATAAAAATTAAAAAACCTAAAGATTCTATTAGAGAAAACACATATTATCGGGGATAGAATTGCATTACATATTTACATTAAAATAGACATTCACTACAAAATACAAATAAACTCATTACCAGTGTGAATTGAATGGTCTAACAGGAAGAGCAGCTATTGAAATTACATAGTATAGCAAGTGGTTTTAATAATACAAAGTAGACTACACTGTACACAAAATTGGCTATTTACGCATAGTAAACCACACAACTAGAAATGGCTCCCAGTGATACCGAGCCATGGTGATATATTCAAGGCCTCTGGAACCAGTGAAAGGAGAGTTTAACAATGCAAGAAAGGATACAGAAAACACACTGCACTATTAGATTCCACAATCAAACTCACAACACAACCAATTATGATTAGCATGGCAGCTCTTTCATGTCATTTATTTACCGAGAGAATTTCGTGCACATATCATTACCAAGGGCATCCGAGTAATACCCATTGTAATTCAGGCAAGTCCAAAACCGAGCAAGGCCGAACTCCCCGTGCTTGGGAGACTTGAGATAAGATGAATGCAGTTCTTTAAGATTTTCATCGAAATTTTTCTTTATCAAACTTACCTGCCGATGAAATACAGAAGAATAGGACCAATCAGCTATTTACTTATTCCATCATCCTTAAATTTAAAACCTAAAGAGACATTCTTAAGAATAAAGTCAAACAAAAATGAACAATCATCATTATATTAGTTTCTTGAAGAAACTTAGCCAAATCAAACAAGAATGCAGATCCAAAATGAGGACAAAAGGTATGAAACTCCTCCCCCCCCCCCCCCCCTCCACACACCCCTATAAACAGACAAGGAGTACACTAACGATAAGTAACATCTATCACTAGAATGGAAGTTGTTTTGCAGGAACCTCAAATGAATTAGAGTTATGTCAAACGGCAAAGCTTAATACAGGCAGAGAAATAATGCTCTATAAGTCTTTTACCTGAGAAATATTGATCTGTGAAATATGGTCTATCAAACCCTGGTTGTCAGACTGAAAATCTCCCACTCCATTGACAAGGCATGATCGAAAATCTAAGGCACATTGCAAAATTCTCTCAATGTTGTTTGATATGGATAGAGTTTCACCAGATAGGAAGCATCTGAAAAAGAGAAAATCACTTGTCATCTAAAGGTTGCTCGCCAAATGTACCAAATATAGCGCATGAAGATAACATTAATTAAGCAACAACCTGTATCATCAACTTGGACAGGTCATATATGATAACTACGTGAACGACTCCAAAACTGTGGCTTCCTTCAGTTCTTTACTGGTAAAAATTTACCTCTTCAAAATGACTATGTACTTTATCATAGAACAGTCATTTTAAGATCCTTTTGTATGTCACATAGTCACATAATCCTCATTCCAAAAAGTTAAGAATTTACCATAATCTTAACAGGAGTATACTTGATTCTTTTACATAAAACTCTTCTCTAATCGTTGTAACACATGTGCATCTTCTTTTCCCTAATTTTTAATGTTCAATAAGGGGTGTCCAGACAAGCACCAACAAGGGTCTTACACTAAGAGCTTAATTCATCTATTACTGCATTACTGCTCTCATCTAGTTTTGCTTTCATAACTACTTCATTCATCTCACAAAAGTTGTCCACTTTTGACATTTCACAAAAATTTAAGTTCATTAGACATAACCCAAAAATTTAGTTGTCCAAGTTTTCCTTACTATTATGGTGGAATCCACTATATTCATATACAGGTATTCAAGCAACGACAAAAGATGACATAGTATAAATGGTATGTCAGTTAAGAAGGGGAACATCTTCAAAATGGCTAAGTTGTTGCACTAATAGAGCAATAATCGACACATAAACTACTAGAAGCACGCAATCTTTGCTTACATGCGCTTTGTATCTGTTAGATACGCCATATGCACAGATTCTAGATCCATCATATCTTTGACCTGCAGTAAAACAACTCAGAGGTGAGGTAGAGATCACAGACATCCAGAAAAGTGCATATACTACAAGAAATGGAAAAAGAAAAGGATAACACTTCAGAGAGAGAGAGAGAGAGAGAGAGAGTAAAGAAGGGCAAAATGCTTAAAGTCAAGCCTTAGGAAGTCCTGTCATCAGATGTGAAGAAGGCTTACTAGTCTAGCACCAACTATGTCAACTCCCAAGCCCCTTCATAAGCAACGGGTGTCACTTTCCACTGTTCAGATTTCTGAACCACTAAAAACTCTAAATGATCATACAGTGAGGCCATTATGAATAAGAATACAATGCAGGGGGTTAAAGCAGTAGAATTGGTATAGATATAATGTATTTAGAGCTCTTGATTTTTATTTTTCAACCTATATTAGTTTTATTTAAAATAAAGCACTCTAGTCGAGTAAATCTGATAGAACCGCTTCAATAATTTCCTCTTTAAATGCCTGACTGATTCATCTGATGCACCTCATGTGGCCATGCAAACTAAGGAGAGAAGAAAGGGACAAACCGACAAGCAAGGGTTTTTTTTTTTTTTTGAAGGGTGTTGAGAGAAATCAAATAGATAGAAATATGTTATTATAGAGAACCAAGAGACAAAAGACAGAAAAAGAAACAAGGTATACTTATAGGTTATAGCACTGGCTCAAACCTCATGCTTGAGGGAGAAGCAAAATCTACTCCAGGATAAATCCGATAACTGCGATAGCACATATTGCTGCAACGTGGAGACAAAATGATTAACCTGATGCCTGAAACGCAACAGTAAACTACGTCATCAACCTGTGATTATGTGGAGTCACTTGAGATTGTACATAAATGTGGAAATCTATTGTAAGTTGGATTATAAATATATTGATCAAGAACATGAATAAAAAAGAGGATATAGTAGGGATTAGTTACAGAACAGAATTACATAAGGCTATTGCTTTGTCATTCATATCAAAGAAGCAGCCATATATGTAAGAGCCACTTCAAAACAATTGATTGTTGTTTTCCATTTACATATTAAAACTAAGTAGAAAGCATTGTCTCATCAAAGGCCTTGTTTAGCTACTGCTTATTGGTAAGGGAATAAATGGAAGGCCCAGAAATCTATACTATTTGCCTAGAAAATTTCCAAAACGTCAAGTTCTTTATGTAACAACTTATCTTGGAGCTCTATGTAGATTGTTGTCTTCTTTAATTCAACAAATTTCAAACTCTCTTAAAAGTTACAGTAGTCAAACGCCCACCCATGGCATTGCAACCAAGAATACAGTTTTATAGATTCAACTTCTTGGGTGTTTCTAAAAATTCAATTAAATCTGCCATATAATTTCTAATTAGTGAACTAACACTAAACCTGAAATTAAACTAAGTCATTGTTCAAGTTAAATGCTACATTCTATCTACCATGAAAAGATTGAACATAAATAGAAGCAATCTTACCATAAGTGAAATTGACTTCAAAAATTCAACAATGTCGAGCCGAAATCAATTTTTGGGGGCGAAATTAAGCGATTTTTCCACTCGAAAATTCAAAAATTCAACATTGCTGTAATTTGCTTGAACTTCCTCGGGTTTTTGGGGGCGAAATTAAGCGATTTTTCCACTCGAAAATTTCAGTTATTGCTCGAATTTTTTCAGCAGGATTTTTAATTGAATTTTTAGGGGTTTCTAGGGTTCGAATTCGTATGGAATTGAGTACATTTTTTGCTCGAAATGGGGGATTTTTGGTCGAAAATAATCAATTTTTCTGGGGTTTAAGGGTTCGAATTAATTAGGGTTTTTGGTCTAAATTTTTGCTCGAAATTGCTCGGATTTGCTGCCGATTATGGGTGTTGAACTTGATTGCGATTTTGGATGTTGAATTTGCTGGGGAATTGCAGTTTTTTGGGCGAATTTGTGGATGTTTTTTGGGCGAATTTGTTGGATTGAAGGGTCGAATTGCAGTTTTCTGTAGAAGCAACTCTGTTTTTTTCTTTTTGTTTAGTGAATTAGTGAAAGGTAGGCGTGAAAAGCTAGGGTCAAAAAAGCGCAGAATGAATAACCTAAAATGCAACAGAGTTATTTGCGTCACTTTATAATAAAAATGCGACGCAAATAACAAAATCTGAAATGCTGAAAATTTGTTATTGCGTCGCTCATTTATTAAAAGAATGACGCAATTTATTCACTCCCTTATTTGCGTCGCTTGTCAATAAATGAGTGACGCAAATAAGGTTATTATATGCGTCGCTTCAATAAATAAGAGCGACGCAAATGATAGAAAGCTAACATATACTTGACTTTTGCGTCGCTTCTTTAATAACAAGCGACGCAAATAACTTTAAAGGATGGTAAAAATACACATTTGCTTCGTTCTTTAGAATGAGTGACGCAAATATGACGATGCAAATGAGCCTTTTTCTACTAGTGTGGCATGGATCCCCATCTCTAACATTTACATTTCTTTGATTGGTATGGACCCCCATTTCTAATATTAACATGTAGCGTTTTGTCTTGGTGATACTCTCACTGCATTATGGACCATGTTATATCTTAGTCTAATGTAGTACAATGTTTGTTCAGTTTCTAAAACATTTTAAGGACTTGCGCCAATATTTTGTTATGAAATGAAGGCTTTACTATCTTAAATCATTTAAGTGTTTTTTGTATTTGGTTAGATCTATATGAGTCTGCAGTATTAGTATGATCATACTTTAAAATGTTGACTTATTCCATTATACTGAGGTAGTAAAATTATTTTAATAAAACCGATCATCACTAACACCCAAAATTTTGGACGTACTTCAATTTGGGCAGGTATTACCCTTGATGAAAATAATAATAAGAAAACAAAAAATGTTAGTGAGTAAACGAAATTTGTGAGATGTTACTTTCCATGTAACATAAACAAAGAAATCAAATAGGTAGGGTACAATTGTATACATATGTAGGCTAATTTAATGCTTCCTTGATGTTTTATTCTTATTGATATATGTATTAACAACACAGTCAACCAAGCAAGTCATAGATAATAATAAAATTTTATTTTATTTTTTTAAATGAAAATGAAAATGCTAAGGGGGCTCAAATAATGACTCATATATTTGCAATGTAGTAAGCCCTGTTCTTATTACATTTAGTTATTCAGTATTTGTGTCATAATAATTTCTTATTTCTTCACCAAACATAAACAAAAATATTCTTAAATTATTTAAATAATTTTACTCCAAATATAAAATTGACTAACGAATAGTCAACCCTGATTACCATTGTTACACCCTTTATATTTCTATCTAGTCCTCAACCCAATTAAAATCCTTATAAATAAAATTCAAAAAATTGTATAATTCAATTTACTTATTTTATAGTTAAACCACCACATCACTCTACCTAATAATTAAACACAAAAAATATCATTCATACATAAATATGAATCAACAAATAAATTTCAACTTTAATGTATTCAATAATATTATAAGTATGAGGAGAGAGGGATGATACGAGTACATAGGAAAATAGGACCGGATGTACTAAATGAACTTTAGTTCCAAAAAATTTAATTACCATTGTTACACCCATAACATAGAAAATTACCTCATACATGTGTAGTTTAATAATAACATTACCTTAGATAAAATAAGACAAACAACAAAACCCTTATTAATATTCATCAAAATAGTCTAGATATCTTCAACACCGTCATATGCCTCATCATCTTCGGTAAGATCGTCGCTATCATCTCCACTTGGCGCATCATCTTCGGTATCATCATTTTGTTCCCATCCGTCAACTGAGGAATGAGTCTCATAATCTTCATCTTCATGATTCCATTCATCGACAGAAGTTAGCTCTTCATACGTGTCAAAATAGTAATTCCTTTCCCATACTTGCCCAGTAAAATCCAACACTATTTTGTACTCCTCTGGGTAGTCACTTTTTTGGAAGGGGTTGGCCGTACAAAGAGCCATATAGGCAGTAGGGTCATAACCATTTTTCTGAAACATCAACGCCTTGAATTAGACATATTTTGCATCATATCCAAAACCAAATTGCCGATAAAATCATCATGAGAGAAGCCAATCCACTCCATAGTTAAGATGAGTTCTTCAAGGTCTTTCTTCAGGTCAAAGAATTTTCTACCCAACACTAACAAACCCCAAACACTACGGTCATAATTATGTGCTTCTATTTTTTCTTGAACCATGTGTAGCCAATCCTCCAATGGCATGAAGAACTCAAATACCCTTCTTAGGAAACGATAAAAGTGAGGAAACATAAAGCAATTAAGTAAAGTGCGTCTTAGGTGAGCTTGGTTGAAGCTAAAGCACATATTGCAATAATTTAGGAGGTAAAATATATAACAATAATCCTCTTTCCTAAAGTGTTTAGCCTTCCTGAGTGACATAGATGTTAAGAACGGATACTCGGAAGTCGGGATGACAAGTAATACCTCTAACGGCCTCTAACCAAAGGTGGGTTATAGTACTCAATTGGTGTCCGCGCAACATCAATTTTTGACGTTCAAGGACATAATGAGTATCAATTAGACCCTTAACATTATGCTGCCCTTTTTCATCCATTTGATTGAGTAAGTCCTCCAATTGTGCCATGGTCACCTCCTCTCTCCTTTGCCTAACCGTTTTCTTATTTACTTGTTTCCTACTCTTTTTTGCCATCTTAGAAGTCACCATATCGACCTTCTTCTGACAAATAAAAAAACACCATTAGCATAATTATACATGTTAAAAATATTAATAATTTTGACAATAGTATGAAAATTATTTTTGAAAGATAGATACCTTGGTGTGCACTCTTTTTCTTCCTAGTAACACAATGGGAAACACGTTTTTGCTGAAATGTTGTTTTTTTTTTTGAAAACTGTTGAAATGTTTTCTACTTATTTTGTAGTACTGCCTCAAGCACCTACAAGTATTATATACTAGTAGATGTAAGGGTGACTATGTAAAATAATAATTATTATGAATTTCTTTTAATACCATAAGGGCTACTTTATCAACCACCTATTAATTGATAAGGATGTGATAATAATAAAATATTACTTTCCGTCACATTTTAATTTTGCCCGAACATTGGGTTCTTATAATGTAATAATCCATGACATTTAAATATAATTTAACGATTTGGCCATAAAGATTTTAACGACTTTAAGACCATTGATCTTATTTGAAGTAAATTTTGTGTGGGAGTGAAGTACACTAAACATTTAGGGGCCGTTTGGTTCGCTGGTTTTAGGAAAGGGAATGGGAATCATTCCCTTTTAACCTGTTTGTTTGCCACTTTTTCCCTCAATCATTCCCCCATTTCATTTTTCAAAATACCCCAAAACCCCTCTTCCCCATTCCCCACCCCCCCCCCACTTTCCCATTCCATTCCCCACCCACCCTAACCCTAACCCTAACCCTAACACTAACACCCATATACGTCGGTGGTGGTCGGACGGCGACTGTCGGCGAGCACCGGGGAGTGGTCGGGGAGGCTCGGCGAGCACCGGGGAGTGGTCGGCGATGTGGTGCTGTGGTGGAGGAGGGAGATCGAGCGTCGGGGAGCGGGGCTGGAGCATCGGGGAGGGAGTTCGAGGTGGTGCTGTGGTCGGTGGTGGTCAGCGACCGTCGGCGAGGGGGACTGGAGGGTCGGCGAGGGGTCAGCGACCGTCGGCGAGGGGGGCGCGACTGTCGGCGAGGGAGTTCGAGCATCGGGGAGGGGGCTGGAGCATCGGGGAGGGAGTTTGACGGTCGGCGATGGGGGCTGGATGGTCGGCGATGCTCGAGGATGGGTCGACGACGGTCGACGGAGGTCTGTGAGGGTTCGGCGGCGGTCGGAGCTGCGCTGTGGTGGTGGTGCTGTGGTGGAGGGAATGATTCCCTGGTTTTTGTAACAAACAACCTTCCAAATTTTCCACTTTGCCATTCCATTCCATTTCATTCCCTTTGTTCATTCCATTCCGATTCCCTTCTGTCAACCAAACGGCCCCTTAGTGTCTTACTACTTGGGTTTGGTGGTTGGAGCTTTTATTTTGGGAAGTGTGGTGCGAGGTTCTAATCATCACACTAGACTATAATCTAGTAAAAATCTTGGCATTTTATTATTTGTTATTTTTTTATATTATAATTGTTTTGATTTCCAAGTGTTACCTTTATTTTTATCCCCCTTTTTTTATGTTCTGCTTGTCCAATTCTTTAGTATTTAACATATTCTTTTGTTTTTATTTACCCATATTTTGTCCACTCTTTTTCTTTTGGCTTTCATTTATGGATTGTGGTTTTTTATTTTTCTTTTCATGTTAGTTGACCTAAAAAAAAATTTCATATTCGTGACTTTCATTTAAAGTCCAAATACTAAAAAAACAAAAATTTCTTTTTGGATAATTTCTCCTACATTTTTAGTGAAACATTTTATAATACCACGAAAAAATTTCATCTTCGTGCTATTTTGTCCTGTTAGTTAAGTCCCCAACTGTATTAAATTATAACTCTAGCCATAGAATAGTACACCGCAGTAAAGTAAGAATGATATGACGATTGGTAATAAATGTTAGCACTATAACTCAATCCAACACATTTGAATTTAATGTTTTATTTGGGAGTTAATTTATAAAAGAGTGAGACACATCAACATTACATTAAAAATTGTAGTATGCTAAATGATAGTATGCTGAAATAAAAGTGTTTTAAACTTTTAATAATTTAATTTGTGACATATTAATTGTATTGGTGTTATTTTTTTTGATTTGTGACATTAATTATATTGGTGTTATTTTTTTTTGAACAACCTCAATTCCAAAAAAAATTTGTGGGACAGGCAAAAGGGATACTTTGTTCACGTGTGTGTGACTGTGTGCTAGATTTAATATTGTGCTTTTGTGTTTGGTCTTCAAGCCTATAGATTTTATATACTATTTTTCAACATTATTAGTTAAAGATCAGACATCCTCCATTTAGATTTCTATCTATCCCTTTCCTTTAAAACTTTCAGAATTGTCACTTCACCACTTTCCTAATGTTTTTTTTACTTAAGAGTTTAAATCACTCATTTCCAAGTCTAATTAAGGGCCTATTCAAATTTACTTAATTTCAGTTCTGTTCAGTTCAGCTCTAATCAGTTCAGTTCAGCTCTCAGCTCAATTCA